AGTTCCGACAGAACTTTCTTCCCAAGTTTCATAAAGTGCATATTAAGTTCTAAAACAACATTCTGGCTACTTTAGAAGCTATTGAAAGCGCACCAGGAACTTCAGGCTTAAAAAAGGTCCGATGCATACTCCTAGCAACTTGAAGTTCAAAAAAAATCCAAACAGAATCCCTAAGCATGTCTTAGGAACTTCAGGCAAGGCTGAAAACATGGCCACAACAAAGTTCCGAACAATTTCCCAGTGGAACTTCTTAGCAGCTTTAAAGTATCTCAAAAGTTCACTGCGGAACTTCTTAGGAACGTGGAAGTTTCTAAAAAGGTCCGTCATAGCCCACATGAAGCAATCTGCTGAAGTCTTTATTAGTAACAAAATTTAATGTACACTGGAGTCACTTTTTACGCGGGTGATACGTCCCGCGTAAAAAAAAACGCGTAAAAAAACTGCGTCAATTCTGGAATTCGCGTAAAAAAACGCGTAAATTCCGAAACCCGCATAAAAAAAACTGTGTAAATTCCGAAATCCACGTAAAAAAACCGCGTGAAAAGCGACTCTAGTGTATAACGATATACCGCGTAATTTCTTAAATCCACGTAAAAAAAACCAAAGTCCGCGTAAAAAAACCGCATGTTACCTGTCAAATTCACTTTCAGATAGTCACAATCAGCGATTTTACGACTCGCGAGTGCTCACTCTGAGTGAACGCTCACGAATCATAAAATCGCTTATTGTAACACGCATTATTGTAACAAAATGCCGTTCAGAATGATGGTGGGACCTTCCTTGATCATTAATTTGCTATCTTAATCTTCCACTTTTACTAAGCCCTTTAGTGATGCATTTATGGGCATTTGTACGGTACATTAGTAAAATGCATGCCCGTTACGCACGGCTTTGGCACCTGACCATAGTGGGGGGGGTGGTTTAAGTTGTGACGCTTGGCAACTTGGCACAGTACTCGCTGACCATTTGAATGTCACTGGCCAATCCAACACTGTTGTTATCATTCTCTGAAAGGGGTCGGTCGATTCCAAGAATTGTTAAAGCATACAGAGGATCACTATCCGGTGGTTTCATGTTTTGACAACATCTAAAATGGAAATATATTCTTTTTCATTGCGCACCGTTTGGAATTGTAGTCCTACAACCTTTCATTTTAATTTTCTCCAACATTAGATCCTGCTACGCCTTCCGTTGGATCGTGCTGTAGGTACTGGATCTTTCATCTTATTGAATCATTGAATTTTTCTGCAGCTTCCGAATGACGGTAGTTCACTCAATGGTGATGGAAGCTGCCAATTCCTTATAATTGATTGCTTTTAACAGGCAAATAAACAATATTTCGATTCCTAGTTCACAAGCAAAAGTTACTTTCACTAGGTATCGATCCGAGTTCCAATCGAGTTGGAGAACCACAGTCTTGCTGGGATTAAGATACAAATTGCCGCGAAATTTTGTAGAGTATAACAAAAACAACAACGAGTACCGTGTTACGATTACTCGTTTCGGTGACATTAGGTCAAACACACACACTGTCACTGTTTATGAGCAGTCTCACTAACACTTGTGCTTCAAAGTTCCACCTTTGATTGACAGAGGCGCTGTTATCAGTGACGTTTGACATTTGTATGGGAAAAGGGAACAGTTGCCAGTCTTCTAGATTTGTAGTCTTCGATTTCATTGAATAGACCTTGCATAGTCCATACGTGAAGGTTGAACTGGGTTTGTAATTCGAAAAGTATATTTTTAGAAATTTGTTTTTTTTTCCTTTGGTTTGTTTTTTCCGTCGATCTTGTTTTCCGTGCTGAGCACCAATGCTACCGACGTGCCAGGAAGGCAGCTCCCACAACTGGACCCTACCACCTATCGACCCATCAACTCATGAACCGGGGACCAACGGCTTTACATCCCATCCGAAGGAAGGCGTGATCAGAGATGTTATGCCTCAGAACATCCCGGCGGCGCCGACTGGGATTGAACCCAGGCCTGCTGGGGTGAGAAGTAATCACGCTTACCACTACACCACCGGCGCCGTTATTTTAGAAATTTGGATTTCCTATTCTGCTAAGTTGGATTTTGATACCGTCCTTTGACAGTTATGTTTGGATTTTATAGAATGGACCTTGCTGAAATCAAGTTTTTGACAAAAGTACGTATTTTCGTTAAAATTTGGTTTGGATTTTGAAAGAGATACACTAACTTTCAGCTAAAAATCTCTAAAATAAAGTTTAAAAAATAGATGGATTTTGGCTTCTTTTCTGAATATTAGGCTTGGATTTTGTTGAATAAACCTTCCTGAATCCGTAAGTCTTGTTAGATTTTTTGAAGCACGCACAATTGTTGAGAAAACTGGGTTTAAATTCACAAAATAGGTATTTTCTTATCAATTTTGGTTTCTTGTTCGGCCATGTAATATTTGAATGATGAGGATCTATCGAAAACAGAAATTTTTTTAAAGAAGTATTACGTTTGTAGTATTCCGCTTGATGGTTTACCTGGAATTTATCAAAATCAGTTGCTTTGATCCTACCCATCATCTACATTATTACTAATGTCCTTCCTTAAAAGGATACAAAACTTATGCGGGAAATGTCTTGTTGATAACCCAAGTGTTACAAGGAATAAAGTTAACATTTGCGGCTTCTGTTAGGCATTATTGTAAAAAATCACGGCTTCAAAGAAGTATAAGATGAAAACGAAGCCTAAGAAGTAATGTAAACGCTTGAAACATACGGTTTAGATGTGATGTAAAACGAATTTTGAATATTTTATTTTTTTTAAGGTTTATTTTTTATCTACCACTCCCCCCCCCCTCCCCCCAACTCGTGCGAGCATCGATTGACAAAAGAAAAGCTTGTGGCCTTTGAGCACGTAACCGACATCCCTTCTTATTTCTACTCGTTTGATTTAGCGCAGTAGAGAAATTAAATAAAAGTACTAATTTATTTGAATAGGCATAGGAAAGAACCATGGCGTGCAGCAGGATCATAAATTCGCCGAAAAAAGTGTTAAGCGTCTTTCTGCTAAAGACTAAGATTCACCAACTTTTTGAGAGAAGGAGTTTAACGAGAAAAACTAAAAAGGGGAGGAGCTTTAGCTGGGTAGACACTGATATTCTGCGGCCTTCCAACCTGTCGCAGACACTAGTTCAACCCCTTTCCAGTAGCAGACGGGCTGAGACTCTTGCGAGTGCCCAATCACTGAACCGAAGAATATGGGATTGTCCGGTTCAATTTGCTGATCCAGCTGCCTTCACGTCATCATCATCTTCCAAAGGCTTTAAGCCTGTACTACCATCAAGATTTTCCAAAAAAGTTAAATTACGGAACATGTTCCAATTAAAATTCATATCAAAAGGCTCTTTTCGTGGCAATCATAGTCATACTGAACGGTATAAACAGAGAGAACCTAGCTCAAATTCCTATTCCTACACAAAAAACAAGCACCTGCTGCAGTTAACAAATAACATTTATTATATAAGACCACCGTACAACCCCATAGGGCTGTCCATTGTAGTGTTTATACGAATCTCAGTAAAATAAAATGCAGAACTAATCGGCGGCTGAGATCTCGGAAATACAAATTTAGTGTCCGTAAATTCATTAAATATTTAACTACTTATTTTTTGAAACCTCAAAAGTATTTTTCCAATTGAAAGGTAATAAATTTAGATACAGCCCAGAACATGTTTGGATTTTTAGATCAAACGAATTTTCCAAAGACAGAAGTCAAGAAAATGGTGGAAATATAACCAAAGTACAAGGTACTTGGGAAATCCTAGACTAGAAAATGTTCCGCCTAGAAAAATTGAACAGAACATCCTCATCCATTAGTTTTAATGTTATTTTGTGTTGTACCTATTAAAACTGATAGTCGTGAGAATAACCTTAGAATGCAAAAAAATAAACAACACCACCAATCCCACTGACAAGCCCAATCATCACCATAAACCTAGACAGCTCATTATGGAAACACAAACCAGCAGTAAACCTACCGCGCCTAACAAGAAGCCAGTTAGGAACAATTATCACCACCTGAATTGTCTCGTTACTCGCAGCAATGATCATCTTCTCTCCCTTCGCCGTTGTTGGATGGCTAAAATTCATGAGAAATAACCAATTCAAATTTTCCCCGAAAATGCACCCATTCGATGACGGATGGTGTAAAGTTTATCTTTCTCTCTCTCCCTCCGCACAAACGAAAACAATGGATTTAATTATCCATAAATCTAGCTCCCATCCGAGTGGCGGGATCCACAAAACCGAGGTCACCTAGAGGAAAACATACACAGAAGCTAGAAGAAATTAAATGTTCAACTTCTAAGCACTTAGAATTTCAAATTACAACCGAGCAGAAAGGAACACGAGTTATTTTTTTAACGTCTTCCATCATTCAAAAATTCTTTAACCAAACGAAGATTTTGATTTTCAAATGAGAACGCTTAAGACCTACAAAAGTATAATGCAACAAAAATGCTGTTTGCTGCCATGATCATGATCTCGGTGGGTACGATCGACGCGCTCGCAGGCAGGTGCAGGTGCATTTCTCACGACGCAACCATAAATTGCTTCGTTAATGCCCCCGGGGGCCATCCGCGTCGACCGCTGCCACGCCGCGCCGGGCGGTGGATCTTCTTTATCGCCTGCCTTTCTTTTGTTCGGCGATCACACGAGATCGGTAGAAGATCGCGTTCGCGTGGCTCATCGCCACTTCGGGTGCGATCGGTTCGCTGCACTGACTGAGTGACCCGAAGAGAGAACGACGCGAGAGAGTGAGAACCCGAGTACGATCGTCATTTTTCGGTCGTTCGTTTACGGGTGCAGATACGAAGATGATGCGATCCTCGTTTGAGATAGATCAAAAACAAATCTACCGGCGTGTGTGAGTCGGAAAGAGAGGACAAGAAGCTGTTTGTTGACATTCTTTCTCGTTCGTTTTTTCGGGGAACCGATCGGGATGCACTTCTTAAAAGGAGTTGCATCCGTACGTGGGAGTTTAGTTTTCAGTTTCGTTTCGTACAGTTCAGTTGTGCATTGTGAGATAGTTTGGAATACAGCTAAGACTTGAAAGTGCATCAGATCACAGAAGAAGATACAACAAGAGACAAGAGCAATGAAAGCAGTGATCGTGAGTGTTTTTATCGCGGCACTTTTGGCGCCACAAGTGACGCAGGGCGTTTCGTTTTGCCCGAATCGGTGCGTGTGTGACGACATTAAACTGCACGTGACTTGCGGTGAAGGCGAGCTGGATGTGCTACCGATCGCGTTAAATCCAGCCATCCAGCGGTTGGTGATCAAGTTCAATCGGATTAAAGCGATCGATTCGTCGATCCAGTTCTACTCGGAGCTAACCATGCTGGATCTGAGTTACAACCACCTGCTTGGAGTTCCGGAACGAGTTTTTGTGTACCAGAAGCAACTGCTGCAGCTGCATTTGAATAATAACAAAATTGGTGCCATCAATAATAAGACGTTCTATGGATTGAACGAGCTGCGAGTGTTGAATCTGCGAGGAAATTTTATCAACGAGCTGACGGCGAACATGTTTACCACTTTGCCAAAGCTGGAGGAATTGAATCTTGGCCAGAATCGCATTGAAGTTCTGCATTCCAACGCATTTGAAAGCCTAACGAGTTTAAGGATCTTGCATTTGGACGACAACTCAATCAACATCATATCGACTCCGGCTTTCCAACCATTGAAGATGCTTGCTGAACTTTACTTCGGTACCAACACATTGAATCAGATTCAACCGGGAGCATTTGAAGGACTGCGGCAGCTGAGACGGCTGGACGTGCGAGGATCGATGCTGGTCAACATCACGTTCGATACCTTTCGTGGCCTGGAGAATCTACGATCGTTAGACCTGTCCGACAATCATCTGCTGAAGGTTCCCACGGTTCAGCTGAGTAGTCTGAAGCGTTTGGAGGAGCTCAAGATTGGGCAGAATGATTTCGAGGTCATCCCCGAGGGTGCGTTCTACGGGTTGTTCAATCTGCGAAAAATCGATATCTCCGGATCGTTAAATTTGAGACGTATTCAAGCGGGAGCTTTCTCGGCTAACACAAATTTGGACACGATCGTAATCGCTTCCAACAAGATCCTGTCGGACATCGAGGAAGGAGCGTTTTCTGGACTTCCACACATTGAAAATGTGATCCTGCGAGACAATGCAATTCGAGGTGTTCGTGAGGAATTGCTTCCTTGGAAACAGCTGCGCAATTTTGATCTTTCGGAAAATCCACTAGTTTGTAATTGTCATCTGCAGTGGCTGAGGAATCTGCTGCAACAGAAACCGATCGAGACGGAGCAAAGTCAAGTAATTTGTGAGTATCCGGAGCGCTTGAGGGGAGAAGCTTTGAGAGAGATCAGCTCTGAACTTTTGGGATGCCATCAACGTCAATCCCGCGATCGAGCCGTGGTTGGAGCAGTCCTGGTGGCTTCAGCTGCTTCCGTTACGACGTTCGTTTTGGTAGCTTATCGCCTGCGTCATCGACTAGTGGACATATTTGGACCGAATTGGCACAACAAACGTAATTCGCTCAAAGAGGAAAAGGACTTGGAATTCGGAAAGTGTTTCGAAGAGATCGATTACCATCAACCGAACTTCAACATCTATAGCTACCACTGTCAGCACCAGCTGCAGCAGCACCTCCCATCGTGTCCTCAGCGATCTTACGACCACCACATCTACGAAATGCCAATTCCGGTGTCCGATTTGTGAGCCCCCCACCGGTAAAAAGACCTGTAGGTCATGGAATTGATCATCGTGCGATACGTGCGCTCACACCAGGAGCCGGCAAACTTCCGGTCCTCAAATTGCATGCTTGACGACAACGGAACGCCCGAGGGCTTGTTATAGAAGCAGCAGTTTACCATTAGCGCACCACCGTAGGATCCCGTCGGGAAAATTTGAATATTTACTGTTCATCATCAAACGGGGGCTGGTTAGTCCCCTGTAAATTATGTCCCCGAACAAGGGGACAAAGCAAAAAGAAACACGAGAAAATAAATGAGTTCATTATTTTTTTTTAAAACAATCATAAAAGTTTTCTTTATTTTACTCTCACCGTCCTTTGACACCGGTTCGTATTTGACCATTGTCCTTCTTCCCTGTGGTGGTTTAATCTCCTTCCTTGGCTTCCCGGCTAGCAAGGCTTCTGACCTTTTTTTTTTCGTTTGCAGAAGAGTCCTTTTTTATTTGGACAAGATTTATGTCGCATTTCCCCTGTTGAGATGGCTGACCATCGCCGTCGCGTAGAGTGTGTGAATTTTCCAGCTATGCTTTCGTTTTTTAACACACTCAAATCCAAAGCGACATGAAGCTCTCAGGACCATCCGAAAAGGACTTGGATTTCGAATTTGCCTCGGGTGGGAATTTCTCACACGCCTATTGTCCTTCTCCATCCAGCTACACATTCGACTGTAAGGCTAGGTATAGCGATGGATTCGCATTACAAGGCCTCCACCACTACTCGCAGGTTGTGTGCGCTACAAAAGAAGTCCTTTTCGGGCTGGCTCTCGCTTTGTGTTGAATGTGAGTTTGAGAGATTTGCTCGAGATTGCTTTTCGATTGCGCTGCGTCGCCCTTCCCGTTGTTCCCCTTACGAGCGTTCCAGTTCGTTGTCCTTCAGCAACAACAAGAAAGGAATCGACGGAAGGTTGATGGCTGCTGTAAGGAATTGGTCCATCGAGTAGCGAGGACGACGACAAAAGAAAGAAATAATTCAAAACGAAAGATTAGACTCGGGTTGAAAACAACCTGCTTGAAAGTTTTCCCTTTTTTTTTTGGTTCTTCTGTGGGAGCGATTTTTTTTTCGGCCTGCAGGATTCAATACTCGTTGTTTTTATTCCCATGAATGATTGTTTGCGGAACGGCGCTCTGTTGTTGAAGATTCAACAAAGAAAATGTTGGGAATATTTTCGGAAAGGTTGACGAATGGACTGAAAGGTTTGATCGGTGATGGCTCACGAAATTTTCGGAGACAATTTGCAGAACGATCATGAATGTCTCAAATGAATAGGTAACATACAATTTGCATTTTGCAATAGCAACAAATTCAAACAGAATTTTTTTTTCAACTATAACTTTCTTTTTAGAAATAAAAAAAACTGTTAGCTGAAAACTGATAAAGGTGAGATTCAGACTTTTTTTTTTTAATCATCCAGTTGTTTCCGATTTTTCGATGAAACAATTATCAAATGTTTACTTCAGTTAGGGTAGGTGAGCACTAGTCGTATGTACATTTGGTTTATAATAAAATAAAATACTCAGTGGAGTGTAATAATTTATGCCATTTACTATTAATACCTAGCATCCTGAACAATAAAATGATTTAAAACCGATTAAATAAGCACCAAATTCCTCTTCAAATTTGGTTTTAAATTGTAGCCATAGCTACTTTTCAGACATCAGTTGTATGTACATATGTGTGTATGTACAATCCCACTCCCACTGTCCGGCAGTGTTTTTATGGAAGACAATGTCTGCAATATAATAGATTACTATCTTATACTGATCCCATCGCAAATATTTTAAACCCGGAAGTTGAAAGGTGATAGCTCTGATGAGTTCCAGTGACCCATTTCAGAATGTCGGGTCACTCAGAAGTATGATTGGACTTGCTTGCCACACAATTATACCCATGCAAAAATGGTACAGGCATCGAAAGCTCTCAATTAATAACTGTGGAAATCCATCTAGAACACTAAGTTGAGAGCACGCAATAAGCTAATATGCGATATGCAATAAGCTTGAAATTCGAAGAAGAAGAAGAAGAAAAATAAGAAGAAGAATATGATGTCAAATCCACACGTCCAGGGAAGTGTGCTTCAAATAAATGTTCCAACACGTCTTCATTAGTTAAAGTTTAGTCGTCATTTGTTCACTTTGAAATTGTTTGATTTAGCAAGAATTTCGTTTAATCGACTAGCCCTACTCAAACTGGAAACATTTGTACACAAACTTTTCCAGAAGGATCGTTCAGCTGACCATAGAGCTTTTTTGTTAGCCTTGCGAGTCAATTTAAAGGCTTCAGAACCTTCTGAGCGATGTCTTTTCCAAGACTTTCCTGAGCTTGGATAGATAGGAATTCCACCAGTGTTGGAAATTTGCAGGGCTGGGAGCAGGTCACTCTTTAGTGACTAGGTCATTATGTTCAAGTCAGTTACTAAAAAGACACACCAAAAGTCACTAAAGTCACTTTTTTACGACCAATGTTAAGACTGTTAAGAGTAAGGAATTTATATTTAAAAATCACATTAAAACGCTTGATATATTAACCCTCCGTTACTCACGCCAGCTTTTGTAACACGAGTACTCGCGCGTTGTACTTTGTACAACAGTGTGAGTTTTCCATTGCCATTTTGCAGCCGAGCTACCAATCGATATGAAACCAACGAGTATTCCTTAAACAACTTGTTTTTAACTAAACAAGCTAATCTTTTATCACAGTTAACCCCCAAAAAATGCGGATGATAGAGAAAATGTGAATGGAAACCGCGTAAACGGTGTCCGTAATACGAGGGATTTGACTTAATTGGTTACAACATGGAAAATTTCAAGATCCTGACCAGATAGAAAGTTACTGTCTTCGGCAAAGTTTTTCAGGAAGTCGAGATCTTTCCGTTGGTGGAGTAGTTCAGAATTTTCTCATGACTCGGTGCTAGTGTACATATGCAATTCTCGCATATATAATAGCTCGAGATCCTGAGCAGATAGAAAGTTACTGTTTTCGGAAAACTTGTTCAGGGGGTCAAGACTTTTTGGCTGGTGGACAGAAGCCCAGAATTTTCTCACTACGTGACGCTAGTTAACGTGTACAATTCTCGCGTATGCTATAGCTCGAGATCTTCAACAGGTAAACAATTACTGTCTTCGAAAAAGTTGCTTATGAGGTCAATGCCTATTGCTTGGTGCACAATAGTTCAGAATTTTCACACTACGTGGCGTTAGTATACACGCGAAATTCTCGCATGTAAAATATCTCGTGATTCTGATCAGATAGATTTCACTAGTGGACAGTGTGTGTGTGTGTGTGTACAATCTAACCCCCACTGTCCGGCAGTGTTATTATGGAAGAAAACTGCTTTTTATTATCCTTAAATTAAAGCAGGTTTAGTCCGGGAGTTAGAAGGTGTTAGCTCTATTGCAGCTCCAGTGACCCATTTCAGAATGCCTGGTAATTCACGACCACTCCGAGGTCACTTTTACTTGCAATAAGCCCCGCATGTTCACTCTACCTTTATCAAATGGATAATGTTATCATAACCACACTTCCAGATTCAAAAAATATTATTTCCAAATCTGGCACGTATATAGTTTTGAAATTTGTAGAACTGTATTAAATCTATTTGAATGGACATTTCTTATCAATTTTGTTTCGAACACCTCTTGATTCATCTGCTGGCAGCACTTACTGGCCCTTACCGGCGACCAACGCGTCTGCCCGCAAAAGCAACAACGCCTATGTCTCAAAGCTCTCTGGACGTCCCCTCAAAAATACAATCGATAAATGTATAATAACAATCTTCAACTGGAACGTACTCATCAAATCAATACATCCGGGAGCACATTCCCGACGCTTATTTTTCTCTCGCAATCCCGTCGTCGTCGAACGGCAAAAAAGGGAACTCGGTGAGCTCTTTTGTGATACGGAATTTTCACTGAACATAAACCGCGAATTCACGAATTTCATCACACCCAACTACGAAACACGTTCAGAAGCACTTTTGGTACACTTTCGATCAATTTCTATCGCAAACACTTTTTTTGTAAAGAAAGTTGCAAGCGAGCCAACATCAACACCGATTGTGCCGAGCTCTTTCACGCACCTTGCAGCGCGTAAATAAACTTAAATTAAAAATTATCACTCGAAATGCCACTAATTTCTGGTCCGGGAGAAAATCAAACAACGCAGATTGCGACATCTCTTCTGATGCTTGCAAACATGTTGAATCACGTGTTCTTTCTCTATTCTAAAACTTTCCGGAAAGCGAGAAAACTACCAATCACACACGTATAAACGCCCGGGAGGCAGAGCGCCAGCGCTAATCCGGCAAATGCAGCCGAAAACTATGAACGCGAACGCACGCACAAAACAGAGAACTAACTTAACACACAACCGTATCCAAAGGCGTTTGAAACTGCACATAGATTTCACTAGTGGACAGTAGTTCAAAATTTTCTCACTACTTAGCGCTAAAATACACGTGAAATTTTCGAATGTGGTTTGTTTCGAGATCCTGACCAGATAGAATGTTACTCTCTTCGACAAAGTTGTTCAGGAGGTCAAAACCTGGTGTACAATAATTGAGAATTTCCTTAGCGGCGCTAGTATACACGTGAAATTTTCACATATAAAATATCACGAGATCCTGACCAAATAGAATGTTACTGTTCAGGAAGCCAAGGTCTTTTGGCTGGTGGACAGAAATTCAATTTTGTCACATCATTGCGCTTGTATACACATGCAATTCTCGCTTTAGATATATTTCAAAACCTGCTAAACTGTCATCGGCAAAGTTGTCCTGGAGATCAAAACTTTTTTCGTTGGTCGACAGTACAGAATTTCATCACTACGCGGTGCTAGGATATACGTGAAACAACTAGAAATTTACTATATTTGACAAAGCTTTTAAGCAGATAAAGATCTTTCGACTGATGAACAGTAGTTCAGAAATTTCTCAAAAATTGGCGGGCAATTCTCGCATATCAAATATCATAAAATAAAAATAAAATTTACATCAGCCTAAGTGGGATAAGACAAATATATTCTGAATTTCTTTTACTGTTGAACATTTTCATGCAGATTTGTGGATACATGAATTTGGATGAGCCGTTCCACTTGTATACCTCTGATAAATTAGTGGTAACACGTATCTCAGATGGAAAACATTATCTTAAAAGATCAATATCGCTGAAACTTGCACGAACGGAATGTTTAGAGTTTCCCTAATTTTAGGCTAATTTCCAAATGTGTTATCGAGGGGTCCAGAACAAAAAACAATACCTGTATTTACGTATGCACGGACA